AATTTATTTTAATGCAATATTTCACTGTTTGAGAGATTTCTTTTTGCATATTTGACGAAAGAAGACTGAATAAAACAGTTTTTTTTTTCATCAACGTACTCTGTTTGCTGCATATTCGTTCTTAGTTGGACCGGCAAGGTTGACGATCTTTTAAATTGTTCATATCTTTATCGCCTGTTTCACCAGGACTACTTGGAAAAACTCATTTTGTGATGTTTTCTTTTTTTCAAATCAACGAACTCCTTCAGGAGGCAGCTCCGTTTCAGGAGGAACAATCTGAAGCTCGTCTCTAGCCTGACAAATCCACGCTCCGGTCCGTCTTTTAGATGGTAGAGAACATACTTGCCTTCACAAGTGTTCTCTCGATATTGCAGACCTATAGACCACTTTCATAATTGGCTGCCGGATCAATATTCTTTTGTTTAAATTTAAATGAGCCCTTCTGGCCTCGCTTGAGATAATGTTTTCTTTTCAATTTTGTACTGGAGATAATGTACTTGAGATAATGTATTCTTTTGAATTTTGCACTGGAGAACGAGGCCAGAAGGGCTAATTTAAATTTAAACAAAAGAATATTAATCCGGCAGCCATTTATGAAAGTGGTCTATAGAGACCAGATTGGCACTCTCTTGCTCTTCGTTGACCGCCTTCCAGCTCACTGGCAGCAAAGAGTTAATAGTTGCGTGAGGAAAGCCGTTAACACTACGCAACACTTTCGTTTCCCATGCGAGTCATGTTAAAAATGTATCTTTGCTCTATCGCAATGCTTGACAAGGATCTGTGATCGAGAAATACATACACAAATTTGTCCCTCTCCTGACATTGGGATAAAACCACTCTTACCTCAAAATATAAATTTAAACACAGCTAAGGTATGGAGAATTTGCTCGTGTTAGCATTCGTCTACTTGTATGGATAAACTCACCTCAACTTTATTTTTACCTGAGTACAAGAATTTTAGCTCTCGTCGATGCTGAGAATCTGAAATGGACTGCACAGTCTTGTCATAACTTAGAACATGCTCATGAACTTCGAGAAACAACCAGTTTGTGGGAATAGCTATAAAAGTTCCGCTTTCTATATTTGATATCGGGTGTTTGGCAGTATACGTCATTAATTGATGAGTACAGAAATGATATAATTTAGATATTAACTATCAAGGCAATGCTTCACAAGTCTATCATTTGAAATAGAGGAAGTACGATTGCGTCAGGGTGTTAGTAAATGATCAAGACAATTTGGCATCGGTAACTCATCCTCAATTCGTTAATATGACAAGTATCCATTCTTTACCTCTTTAGAAAGGTGGTTACTTCAAAAGTGTAAATTGCCTTAGTTAAGGGATCTTTTTCCATGAAAATATTTACTGGATGAGGTACTTCAAATGTTCCCGTTCAAAAAGGCTCCTAATTAGCGCTTTGGTGGAGAAGGATCCAAGTTGTAATGCATGCTACATTCATGCTACTTTGGTTGCTCGGTTGCGATCAAAGGCTCGGTTGCATTTTCTAATGATACTAGTGCTATTAGTGTTTTGCTCGTTCATTTCAGTCCTTAATCAGGGTGCTACGGCAGCGCTTGCGCAGCAAATCACTGCCATGGATTTTTTGTCCGAACTCAGATGGTTCAGGAGGGCGTACAAGAACGAATTGACAGCTGAATGGAACTACACCACCGAATCAACAGCTGCAATATGTTCAAAGCTGATGCTGAGAGGAGTTCGAAGTGTCCTTAAGACGTATTTAATTGATTCCGTTTCCCAAGAAACTGCAAAAATGACGCTGACTGATATGCCATCAAAATAATATGTTTTCGCACCTTAATAACACCGGCTGGGAATCTTAATAACACCGGCTGTTTTCGCACCTTAATAACACCGGCTGGGAATCAAGAAAACGAAGAAAGTCTGGTCAAATTTGGAATCTACTTTTAATGATAAATTCCTTGATTTCTTTTCTAAGACTTCTTTCTTTGCAAAACACTCATTAATTGGTTATCAAGAAAACAATATAAAATAAGTAACCGGTTAGCTAATTAACCAACACCTTACTAGGTGAATGCTGATCTTAAAAGTCCCAGGTGAAAGGAGCTTTCAAATTGTCTATAAGTTAACGTGGCTCAAACAAATCAACAAAGATTGAGTGTCGTAGAACAAAGAACAGAAAGTACTTTTATTACGCCCTATGAGAGTAGAGTTGTGACCTAAAAGCAGCAAAATATGTACATATTATCGTATCCATATCAGTGGACTTTTAAACAATTCATTGACCTCGTTGAGTAAAAAACCATGGGATTCTATTTCCTCCTGATGATAACGCCATTTCATTCTTCTCCTTAAATTTCAAAATGATAATTTCGGTTGCATTTTAGAGAGCCGAAGACAATTTTTTTGAAATTTGAAGTTAACAAGTGCAACAAAAAAACTGTCTCGATTTCTAAACACAAAGAGATGAAGCTGTCAATATGAGACGGAAAAGTTCGCCGGACAACACTGTTTCATCGAATACAGCATCTGCTTTTTTTTTCTTGTCATCTTTCACATTAATTACATGCTTTTTCAGAAATCAAAAGAAACTCACGTTACTGAAAATGTAAAATAAAGCTAAAATTCATTTCATAATTCATGCTGCTGGTTATCTGACTTTCCCTCTCATAATAAATAATCGGTTCATGCTCAGCGTGCGTACTGATTGAGTTATGGATGCACGCGGGAAGCTTGGAGAGCACGAGAGAAACGTAAGAGTTTCTCGAGGCGCAGCCGAAACCAACTCTAGCTTCCTGAGCGCTCTTCAAACTTCCCACGTTTTGGAGAATTTGGAAAATTTGGAAATATTACGAGCCGGTATTACTGCAAAATACAACCTACAGGTCATACTATCATTATTATTTTTATAATTCAGCATGTTTATAACTCAGCACGCTTGAATCGTTGTTTACTAGAATTCACGGCCAGAAAATTGTGTAGGTTTGTGTTGAAAATTATGGAAATCTGAAATTGTAGGGTTTTAAAAATAGAAACTTCTATTAAACGATACTAGGAACTATCAACACATAAAAATTGCATAAGCCCTTCGAAAAACAAAGCGAAGAACAAAAAAATTTCTTGTATTTACGAGACCCGTGTGTAGTGGTGGAATTGTTGTTGACTAGATCTTGCGACCACAAAATTGCGTAGCTTTGTGTTGAAAATTCTGAAAATTTTCAACACAACACTTTTGGGATATACTATCAACACCTCAGAATACTATTTACCCCCAGTGAAGAGTTCTTAACGTCCCAAAGCTTCAGTTGAAGTTTTTGTTTTCAGCCATAATTCGCATCGCGTTTGGGAATGAAGCATCGTCAACTCCAAAACTAATTCCGTCACCCCAGTTTTACATGCTCATTGCTTTTCGAAACGAGTATCGTTTAACCAACTTTCTCTTCATTTTGAGCTACAAAAGGTATCTCTCAGGCCCCGTCCCCACGTATCCGAATATTTTTTAATCCGCAACTTTTTCTTTCCGGATATGACTATCGTCCACACGTATCCGGCGAATTCGCAAGCAAATCCGGATATTTTTTAATCCGCTCTCCAGAGTGCAAATTTTTTGACATTTAGGATACGTGTGGACGGTCGAATCCGGATATTTTCTGATACGATGACCTCACAAAATTGGCGTGTTTACCGCGAAAAGTTAAATATGACCGCCTATCAAAGGCAACTAGTGATTTACGAAGCGATCTAAAAAAGTTGTCATATTTACTCTGGCACGATTCCCAGTCAATGGTTTCCTTAGATTTTGCGGCTTTGCACTATATTGTCACGTTCAATAACAACTCTACCTCGTCGTCGCTCCATATGAATGATTCTGGCTTGTTCCCCTCATTCCTCTTAGCTTTCTTGCTTGATTTCGACATGTTTTTAACTGTTTGAACTGGTGCACGTAAACTGAAACATCGAATTCCCGCGGCTGCTAAATGCCGTAGCGCATGCTCCGTAACCAACATATATAGAGTCATCCTGGGTACTAGAGTGAATCCGGAGTGAATCCGGATACGTATGGACGGGCGAATTCTAATTCGACTCAGGCCCCGTCCACACGTATCCGGATATTTTTGAATACGCAACTTTTACTTTTAAAAAGTTTTTTACTTTACTCTGGCACGACTCCCAGTCAATGTTCTCGATAGATTTTGCGGCTTTGTACTATACTGTCACCTTCAATAACAACTCTACCTCGTCGTCCACAGGACGAAATCCCACATTTCCGCATTTCGTAAATGTGACGGAAACATAGAGCTTCATATTTCCGCTACATTTACGTCTTGCGGAAACGTGTTGTACCAAGTCTTGGCGATTCTATCAAGTTTCCGTCATGTTTCCGGCACGAAAATGCCAAGCAATGTTTCGTCCAATGCCTGGACGTTTCCGCTGCCGTATGTTTCCGTTATGTTTCTGCATGTGGATTCTTAATAACCTCGTTGAACCTTTGCAATGACGGAAAACAAACTGATCATGATTTTGGGCATGATTTTTACTGTTTTGACGAAATTTTTATGGTAGGAAACTCCACTCAGATATCGATGAACAACTATCGTGAGAAAGTTTGTTTATGAATTAGTAACTTCGGTTTCTGATACGACGACTTACAAAGTATTAAAATTGATTTTAAAACGTAGCATAAAATCGCCACTTTACTCTTCTATGTATATATTCTTGGGTAAAAAGCAAATTTCGTGTTCCGTAAGCAAACGCTAACACAGCGCTAGCGACTGCGCAGACTCTTTAATCAATAAAGGCACGTAAAGGGCGTTGATATTGATGGTTATATATAGTTCCCGGATCAATATTGAAAGAACTACCAAAATATGTGAAATATTTGTGTCTGATCTCTCATAAGTGAATAACCGAGTCATTTGGATGTTTCTTCGTAAACTCATTAAGTTTCTTTAAGAATTTTTGCGCAGTGTATTTGACGGACCTTTAACTTTAACGCACAGTTAGCTAGTATGAATCCCCAAATGAGCACACAGGCTCTTTGCCAGTTAGGCTGGGGAAATTAAAATATAGGCAATTCAGGCAATTTTGTCGCAGGACCTGGTTGAATAATTTGAGATAGCTTGGACAACTTGGCCAACTGAGTCATTTGAGGCGGCTGGCCATGGGTGTCTTAATGGGACTGGATACCTGGAACTTGTTGGGTCATTTGCGCTGGTTGGGTTATTTTGAGATTACTTGCTCATTCATGTTGGCCAATTGGGTCATTGGCCGCGCGTAACCTAGGGCAAACTTTACCTAAATCCAAGATGGCGGATTTCTCTGAGCCCACCGATGAAGAACTAATATCCTCGGTAAAAAAACCACTTAAGAATAACAAATCGGCACTGATTGCAAGAGAGAATTGTGAATGGGAACAAATTTAGGGATCTAGAGATCACGTTTAATGGACTAAACCATGTTGCTGAGCTAGTTATGAAGGAAAACTTTAGAGGGATTCCAGAGAGACCCACAGGACGAAATATCAACAATCCGTAAACGGAAACGCGAAAGAAAATTTTGAAACCGTTGCGGAAACACTACGGGTAACACGTGTTTCCGCTGCCGGTTTGGCGACGTTTACTCGTTTTTCCGTTGCTGCGGTAACAACGGAACCGAACCACTTTTTTACGCGTTGTCATAGGGAGACCGAAGACGACCATGCACAGGTGCAGTTGCTCATTCGAGGAGAAAGCCAGTGATCAATGGCACATTTCGCTGGAATCATCCAACGCTGTACCATTGGATATAGTTAACCAATTTAATACTTCGGTGTCAATGTTGGTCACGCGTCACCTGGACAGAGACAAAAACTAAGTTTGTTAATTTTGAGTTTTCTTGTAAAACTTTTGGTTAATTTCCTCTCCTGTTGCTTATCGATATTTAACATTTCGCTTCATTATTTCAGTCCCGCTCAGCAAGCTTAACAAACTGACCACAATTTTCTATTGTCTATAACCTTACTGATCATTGGAATGACGTCAACAATTTTTAAAACCAGAGTGGTACCACGCGGTTTTCGTTTTATGTTGCCTTGGAGTTCGAACCCCACAATTACTCAACTACAACTGCTACTTCCAATCAAGATCTGTTGCAATCTTCCCTTAATTCCTTTAAAAGCTTGTCGTTATCGGCACATAGAACTCTCGATCTTTTATTTTGCTTTCGATGGTATGCTTTTATCACGAACAACGCTGGTCAGTCTGTGACTACCAGAGTTCACAAAGTTTAACTCATATCTGGTAGGTCTGTGGCTTATTTTCATCGAACGCAAAGATTAGATTTCAAGTGACTGGGCATTACGTCAGAAAAACATCACCAATATTATGAAGAAAAGAAGTCGTTTACCTATCAGGACCTGTCAGACTTATTTACGTAGTCTGACACCTATCGCACCAATATGAAATACAAGAAAACATGGCGGCTAAGTGTGACGAGCCAGGGACTGGAAATAGTAAACTCAGAAACACTGGGGACTGAAACCTGACAACACTGTGAAATTTGACAGTGCACAATGTCCTTGAGTTCCTGACATAGGGTGCAACAATTATATTACAGCTATGAAAGCGCAACCTTTTGATGATTTTGAAACTAATGCCTCTCGTCTCAGATGACAAATATTCATAAAGGTTTTTAAGGCTTTAAATGCTCAATAAGTAACAAAAACGTTGCGGTGAGCTAACGTAAACCATAAGCCGCCTCGCTTGGAAAACTCATTTACACCATGTCATCAATCAGTCACACCAATACTGATACTAATTAAAATAACCAGAGGTCGCTGAGCTTAGAAGAGAATTACGAATAAAAAAACAGTCAAGAGAGGTTTAGTAAATGGTTTTTTAAATCAACGCTTTTTTTTTTTCAGTGATACGGCTCTCCAATTTGTCTGATCATTTTGTCATATAAAAAAGAAGGCGCCATAAAAACCTGGCGACGAAAATCGATCATGAAGCTATCCGTATAAGGCTGTTTTGTTTGACTTCTGAATATTTTATCACGCATAATGATTACGAAAAGTACAGACAATGGAAAGATGTGGTTGATTTTATTCACACGGGGCTATTATGGACAAGAAGTAACTTGCAAAAGAGTTCTCGGGGTGAAGCATGTTAAGTTCGCATAAAGCCCTAACAGAGCACAGACTATTCTGGAATTCAAGCTTCCGCAATAACGCGGCCTTTGCGAATGATGACAGAATTTATTCAAATTTTTAGCGACGACGGTTCAAAAATTGCAAACAATGAGTCGACTTCATACTTAAGTATAGAGCTGTTTGAATAAGACTACATACTTCATATGGCACTGTTTCATTGAAATGCAACAATTGCTACATATCTGTTCGAATCAATTTTGCCATAGTGTACATGCTTCTCGTGTGAAACGTCAGTATTAACTACAAAATTTTAAGAAGTAGTACTGGCGGCAGTTCTTTTATGCCGTTGATCCATCTGAATTCCATCTTTATGAGAGCTTTTTTACAACTCGTGAATCAGTAACCTCTAACTGAATATAAACACATAAAAAATTAATAGGGGAGATTTGGACGCTCTTACCTCCGGCTGACTGAAAAGAAAGAGCTTTCTGCTGTATTAGTTTATCTGAGGCATAGCATGAGCATCATTCGAACTACACAGATGTTTACAGAGATCCAATGTACATATTCAGTTTTCGCACCGTGGATTTTAATATATGCAGCAAACCATCCTTAGTAAGGTCTTTTTTGTTCAGCGGTCAGTGAAGTTTAAACCAAAAGCTGCGTGTTATTGGTCTCGTAATTGTTATGTTAAGTTGTGTAAGTTTTCTTCTGTTACGAATTGGTATTATTTTAGCAGACAAGGACCTTAAAGGGTTCGTATATGCCTTTAGTCGTAGCAAGTTGATATTTCTCTCCATTGATGGCAATCAAATATCTTGAAGCAAGTCAATTAATTAGCTGGCACCAGCAGAGCTCTCATTTTTTAATTAAAAAAAAGATGAGTCGTATCATGTAAAAAAAAATGCGAGTGACGTGGAATATCAATGAATTAGCCAGTATAGAATTACGAGAAGCATTGAATAAGGTTTCTTCGCTTGTTAACCAATCAAGAATTCGATTGAGTTCAGCATTCAAGAATGCCTCATGATTTTCTTAGACGCATACCCTTTTTTAATTCAATATAATTTGGATATATCAACAAAGTTGAAATGGTAAATTGGCCACCGTAACGATTACAAAAGCTGACGTTTCGAGCGTTAGCCCTTCGTCGGAGCGACTTTGTTGAATAAATCCAAATTATTTCGTTACCCCCACCGACGCAGCCCCAAACAGTTTCTTTCGAAACTATCAGCCCTTATAATTTTTTAATTCAACTAAGTTCACTTCTTGCCTGCCTCAAAATAGAGCAACTTTGTTGATATATCCAAATTATTTCGTTACCCCCACTTACGCAGCCCCAAACAGTTTCTTTCGAAACTATCAGCCTTTATTATTTTTTAATTCAACTAAGTTCACTTATTGCCTGCCTCAAAATAGAGCAACTTTGTTGATATATCCAAGTTATTTCGTCACCCCCACTGACGCAGCCCCAAACAGTTTCTTTCGAAACTATCAGCCTTTATTCTTTTTAATTCAACTAAGTTCACCTCTTGCCTGCCTCAAAATAGAACAAAGAACTGTCCTAACTTCTTCATCAGTGGAATAACCCTCAAGCGCGGGCACATTACTTCCGGATAATTTCTGTCAAATTTCATAGTCGCCTCTTAACCTTTCTATCGGGCCATCTGCAACTTAACACCGAAAGTACAGCGGTATTCTTCTGGTTTTGCTTTGCAACGTAATGTGCGTGGTCTAAAAAACTTGCTGCCCCCTCTTCAACCAATCAGACCCAAACTAAAACAAATCGCTACTTCGACAGTCGTAGTTTTCCCGCCTTGCGCGTCAGGTTCAATTTGACCTTTAAAGTTTTCCTTACCTCCAATCGGTTGTTGTGATCACATAACTTAACTTAACTTTATTTAAGGAGGGAAGCGCAATAACCTATTACAGTTTTCTAAACTGCGGCCCTCACACACACCCACCCCACCCCAGGGGAGGACATCCATCACACAGTGCGTGGAAAATTAACGTCTCCTACCCCGAACCCTGCAGAGACGGGACCCACGGTTTATTCGTCCTTATCCGAGAAGACTAGAATATCTATTCATTTCTTGATATTATGGAGAGGTAGCACATTTTCCTCTGTTCTTTCAAGACCCTGAGTGTTGGTCCGGCCGGGGCTTGAACCCTCGACCTCCCACACAAAAGTCCGGCGCTCTACCAATTGAGCTATTCAGGGGGAGGTAATATTTTCGTTATATTTTCAAAGCACTCGATCAAAATGAAATCTAAGAATGCCAAATATCGATCAAATCGCTTTGTTGCAAACGTGACGATGATCCTAACTTTTGAGAAGGCTCTTGAACTGTAAATGTTGAGGCTATTCCTCAACAAGGTTTTATTTCTTAGTCCGTTCCGTTCCCTCATGTTTTGTATGTCACGTAGACTACAATCCTTCAGTAGTAATTTTACTCGGTAATCTTTTTTCCCACGTGGTGAAGCGCTTGTAAAATTTTAGGTACGTAAAACTGTTGCTTTTCTTTCGCTTACCGCCCTTCATCATGTGGTTTCTACGGCTCCCTGAGTCTCGTAATCTTTGATGAAAGGACGACCGGATCGTTTTGTAAATATTGGTATTCTTCGCTGTCATTAAACTCATTGGTCGAAGCGCTGTTCTGTTATTATTCGGCATCTTCGCGGCTTTGTGTCCGAGAGTAAACATGACGTACATATCACATTTAAAAATAACTTATTTGAAACCTTGCAATGATGATTAAAGTAAAAAAAAAATCAACAAATAAAGAAGTGAGGTTAAAAAAAGGAGCAAGGAAGTTGTGTGGCCACAATGTACAAGTACCCTAATATTCCATTTGTAATCCAATATTTCCTTTTTGTTTCCTTTCTGTTCCTTTTCAGAGTCCCGGGTTCATCAAAGAATCAACCCCGGCTTACATTTCCAACCGAAACAGAGCCGTCACTACTATAATTTATTGCATATCTTTTGTAAGATCTGACACCAAAACCGAATTTAACTTAATTGGTTACTACGACTGAACCGGCAAATTAAAGATAAAAAATTTACAACCTAGAAATTATTGCGGTGTTCCTCCCGTACAGGTACCTTTTTGTTTTGATTTTCTTTTCAAGTCTGCTGGATAACATCTAGAAGTACTTTCCTTATGATTCCTTATGATCTTCACTGCGATTTCCTTCAGGCTTGACCTGTATAACTCTTCCAATTTTTTTAAAATTAAGCTTTCACGACAGATGCCAAACAATTGCTTCATTTAGTCATCGTACGCCGTACGTGGTCAAATTTACTTAACAAGTAGACCGGTTGTTCTACGCAACCTTTAGCGCCCTCAAAACCACAAACATCTTCCAAAGAATCATTTGCAACAATATTCATATAGCGCCCGCGAGTGAAGATTCTCCATGCATAAAGAGTTCAGACAGAAACAAAACGCGGAAATTGGGTGCCGTGGTTAAGCGGCTGAAATGTAAACATTTAAGTTTTAGTTTGTATGCAGTGATATAACATCCGGGACTAGCCCCCATGATGCGTAAGAAACTCATAATGTGCAGCTTGGTCAAACAACCATTCCTATTGGCTCGATAAAGACACGCCACATTTTCCTGAGATCGAAGAGCCTCATTTGAAGAAGATCCATCCCAAAATGAAAACATTAATTCGCTTCTTACAAGTTTCTTCAAGTTGTCCACGATTTCATTTGGAGAATTTCACGCACACAAAAATTCTAAAATAGGCGGGTAAAGTTGTTATATGTGATTACTTTATATCGACCACGCTTTCGAAGACGAATCTGGGAAAAATTCCGTTTGTTTTCTCTTTTCTTTTCTTTATCTTTTATCATTGTTTATTTATTTCCTAATTATTTACATGGAGTGATCACTAAAGAGAACTGTAAAAACTAGCTCTCACAGCGATTCTAGAAGTTTGTTGATGTATGCATTTGTTATTCCAATAATACGCCCGGAAATTCAATCTCCGTCTTGAGTTCAATTCGATTCAATTCTTTGCCAGTAACTCTGAGATCATTTGTTTTGGTAGAATTGAATAAATGAATGAATCAAAAAAAAAGATGATTACCCTTGAATGTTTCCACAGATCTATCTTTGGCACTGATTTCTATTAATATTTGCAGAATGTTTTCTCGCCAAATTTAATGGCCGGCAAAACACGCCGGCTCTGCTTTAATCTCGCTACTTTCTTTACAAGGATAGAGACGCAATTAAGCTTATTTCTAATAAGTAACAGCTTCCTTTTTTTTTCATTCTCAAAAACCCCCAAGGAACTGCCCCAAAAAATAAAAGAAGCGACAAAATGTTTTTACCCGATGATCGCAGAAATTTGCCTATGCCATCTTAATTAAGCAAGCACGGCCGTTA